CCCTGACTTCCCAAAAGCATAAAGTTTATTTTCCAGAGAAAACAAACAAGAATGTTCAAAACTGTATGTGAAGTGGTATAATTAGGAAAGCACTGAAGGCTATAAGAGCTGAATGGGAGGTTGGGGTTGTAAAGATCAGAGAAAGTTTCCTGGAAGAAATGATATCTAGATTAAAATTTTTTAAAAAATTGTTTTTAAAGTGTTTTATTTTATTTTTGAGAGATACAGAGACAGCGTGTGAACTGGGGAGGGGCAGAGAGAGAGGGAGACACAGAATTGGAAGCAAGCTCCAGGCTCTGAACTGTCAGCACAGAGCCCGATTCGCGGCTCAAACCCACGAACTGTGAGATCATGACCTGAGCTGAAGTTGGCTGCTTAACCGACTGAGCCACCCAGGCACCCCTAGACTAAAATTTTAAAGATGAGTGGAGGTTAGGAAGAAATATTCCCTCAATAAGAAATTGATAAACCAAGTTATTTTAGAGAATGGTTTTAATATAGTAGCTAATATAGGTAACACTAAAACTGCTTATTTGGTAAACAAAAAAAATTGAAGAAAAAAAATAAAACACTATTCTAAAGAACACAAGAATCAAAACCCAGTAAGAAATCTATGGTATAAAGGATTTTGCAAAGGTATTTTTTAAATGGAAATGAACAAAGACTTTAACAGGATTCGAAATGACACAATGGATATGAAAGATAGAGAAATAGACAAAGGAGATCCAATACAAAAATACAGAGACAAAGAATATACCAAAACATGAATTAGAAAATATTTAAGTCTTCCCAGAAATAAACCCAAAACTCCAATGTATACGTTAAAAAAGAGCAAACATACGACAACCCTAGAAAAATTGATACAGAACAATTAACATTAAAACATAACTTCATCAAATGACTACATTTCAATAATAAAGAGTCCTTGGGCATCCAGAAAAAAAGATAACGTCATCAATAAGGGAATTTATCAGGCTGGCTTCCGAGGTCTCCAGTGTAACCTTCAATACTAGAAAAAAGTGAAGCAATGTCTGTCCACAAAATCTTCAGAAAAAGAAACATGTAAGCCATATCCTCTACATAGTCTTTCATGAAGAAAAGCAACAAATGTTTTGGATCATATAAGAATTTGGGGATATCACTCCAATGAGCACATCCTGAAAAAACTGCTGGAGGACAAACGTCAGCCTACTTACTCAAAAGATGGATGGAGAATCCTGGCAAGAGGTTTAGCGCTAAGCACAGAAACCATCTAACTACAGACTAATAGTTAAAATAACCTTGGAAATTAAGGTTACAGAGTAGAATATAAATCTTATAAATAAAAATTCACAACAAAAAATTATTTAAGAGTATATACAAAACTATATAACTAAGAAAAAATAAAAATGGGCAGGGAGATAGAAGGTGGGTGTTAATACCAGTTTATAGATTTCTTCTTATTTTAAAGCTGGGGATCAAAGGACATCCTTTAGGGCAGATAAGTCAGACCGACAGGCATATTTAAAAGAATAAAGCTAAGCAAATAAACAAATAAACTAAGAAAATAATATAACCAACTAAATGGGGAGAGGGAGGAAATGGAAGGAGTAGTAAAATAAAGTAGATTTATTTTGCTTTCACTCATACAGAGTCAAAAGACATCATTTTTTTTTAACTGGAGGATTAAGAAGATTAACCATAGTTACAAAAGTAACCATTTCAAAAACTAGAAAGAGCATACAAACTGTACAAACTACTGGCAGGAATAATATTGCTCTCTTTCTCCCTCCCTCTACACACACACACACACACACACACACACACACACACACACACACACACTATAAAGCCTTATAAAACCTATATGAGGAGTTAATGTAGGAGGTCAATTTTATTCAGTTCTTCCTTATCTCTGTAACCATGGCAATAACACCCTGGACAAACTCTGAGAACTAAACTATACAAATATTCACATAGTTACTGATCAGGAATGTTATTACATAATCCCAAGGCAGTGGGTCATGACAAACTAGGCTTTCAACATGTTTAAAGGAAATGTACAGATACATGATATGCACCTGGTACCTGATTAGGGTTCCACACTATGTCTGGACAAGTGGCAATTATATCTCAACAACAACAAAAAAGACCAAAAGAGACCGAATCTTCACCCACATTTGATTACAACCAGAATAGAAACAGACCTCAAGCAAATAACTTACAAATTTTCCTATTAGCATCACTAGTATTACATTTGGCTCTACCAAAATATATACGGTATTCACCATCTTTTAAAAGAAGCACACTGGGGGTGCCTGGGTGGCTCAGTCGGTTGGGTGACCCACTTCAGCTCAGGTCATGATCTCATGGTCTGTTGGTTTCAAGCCCCGCGTCGGGCTCTGTGCTGACAGCTCAGAGCCTGGAGCCTGCTTCAGATTCTGCGTTTCCCTCTCTCTCTTCTCCTCCCCCCCTTGTGTTCTTTCAAAAATAAATAAACATTAAAAAATTTTTTTAAAGAAGCACACTTAACCACTGAGGCTTTTCAACAATTCTATTACAGTTAAATAATTTACATACAATGAAAAAGAAAAATAATCAGTTTTACTTTTTCCAATTTTATTGAGATATAATTGATCTATAACATTGTAGAAGTTTAAAGTGTGCAACATAATGATTTATTTGAATATATTGCAAAATAATTGCGGTAGTAAGTTAACACCCATCACATCACACAGTTAAAAATTTTTATTCTTATGGTGAGAATCTTTAAGATCTACTCTGTTAGCACAATATTGTTAACTATAGTCATCATGCTTGTCATTATATTCCCAGGACTTATTTATTTTATAACTGTAAGATTATACCTGTTGACCATCATGACCCAATTCCCTCACCCCTAACTCCTTGCCTCTGGCAACCACAAATTTGTTCTCTATTTCTAGGAGTTTGTTCTTTTTAGATTCTACTTGTAAGTGAGATCATACAATATTTGTCTTTGCTGGACATATTTCACTTAGCATAATGCCTTCAAGATCCATCTGTGTTGTCACAAATGGCAGAATTTCCTTCCTTTTATGGTTGAATAATATTCCATTGTGTATATACCACATTTTCATTACCCATTCATCCATTGATGGACATTTAGGTTGTTTCCACTTCTTGGCCATTGTAAATAACACTGGAATGAACATATCTCTTCACAGTAGTGATTTCATAAATAACCATGGAATGAACCTATCTCTTCATGATACTGATTTTGTTTCCTTCAAATGAATAGCCAGAAGTGAAATTGCTGGATCATATGGCTTTTAATTTTTTGAGAAAACTCCATCATGCTGCTTTCCCTGTAATAATGAAAAATCCTAACTTTACCTAAATTAAATCTTTCCTTCTGGCTCAGGGTAGGCAGTTGTGAAGTAGAAGTCCCTTTTGCCAGTAAGTCTTTTCTCTCCCTGATCATCCTCTCCCCAACTTCCTTATTTTGGAAGCTCCAAGGCAGGAGTGGGGGAATTAAGAGATAGGATCATTGTTACCTGACTCAATTAGTGCTTTTGGGGTCTAAGTCTTGGGACAGGCACTAGCTAAAGTAGACCATGTTTCCTAGGTTGTTTCAATGGGTCATCTCTTCTGTTGCTCCTCTTACCCAACAGTTGAAGCTCCAGTTGCCTCTAAAACCAGTTTAGATTGCTAATTGGGACTCTTTCTACAACCCATGGGAATCCTGCAGTGGATGTCCTGCATATTTCAGCTTAGGTTTCCATACCCCTCTATGCAGTCCCATTGTACAAGATCCAACTTTCCCTCTTGATGGCCCACATCCATCTGCAGTGACTTCTCTGGCAATTTCTGGAAGTATAGACCAATATGGAAACCAAGAGACAGGAGAAGGAGAGAACTTATTTTGCACTGTACACACACGCTGCCTTTTGTCTTTAGTACTGAGTATAGGCAATATCTCTTCAAAAATAAACGAAAAGTCTATTTTATTTTTTTTTTATTTAATTTTTTTTTCAACGTTTTTTTATTTATTTTTGGGACAGAGAGAGACAGAGCATGAACAGGGGAGGGGCAGAGAGAGAGGGAGACACAGAATCGGAAACAGGCTCCAGGCTCCGAGCCATCAGCCCAGAGCCTGACGCGGGGCTCGAACTCACGGACCGCGAGATCGTGACCTGGCTGAAGTCGGACGCTTAACCGACTGCGCCACCCAGGCGCCCCTGAAAAGTCTATTTTAAATAGCAAGCCATAGGCAAAAAATATTTGCAACTCATATACCACCCAAATCAATTTTTCCAGACTATATTTAAAAATGCTTATAAGTCAACAGTACAATGAGAAACAGTCCAGGGGTGCCTGGGTGGCTCAGTCAATTGAGTGTCTGACTCTGGATTTCATATCAGGTCCTGATCTCATTTGTGAGATCAAGCTCCACGTCAGGCTCTGCACTGACAGTGTAGAGCCTGCTTGGCAGTCTCTCTTTCCCTTTCTGCCTCTCCCTTGCTCACGCTTCCTCTCTCTCTCTCAAAATAAACAAAAATTTTAAAAATATACAATAGAAAAATGGGCAAGATATTTGAAAAGCCACTCCATAAAGAAGATACGTAAATGCCCAATAAACACATGAACAAATGCTCCATGCCATTAGTCATTAGGAAGATGTAAATTAAAATCACAATGAGAACACTGAATATCCACTGTAATGTCTAAAGATAAAAAGAACAGCAACATTAAAATTAAGAAGATGTGGAACAACTGAAACTTAAATACACTACTAGTGGAAATATATATACTACAAATGCTTTGGAACATAGTTTAAAAGTTTCACAAAATATTAAATGTCTACCATATGACCCATCTACTCCACTCCCGGGTATTTACCCAAGAAGAGTGAAAACTTATATCCAAAGACATGTGCATGAATGATCCTAACACCCTTATCCAGAATACCTCAAAACTACAAACATCCCTACCTGAAGGGGACCAGGAAGGAAGGGTCTGGCCTTAGCAACTGTGGTGCGATGAGGTTCGAGATTCTGCCCGGGATCAGCGTCATGGCCACGTGCTTGATCATCCCCAGTAACGCCACTGCACACATCCATAGGTTCACTAATGGGGGCAAAGAAAAGAGGGTTGTCCATTATTCATATCACTGGAGTTTGATGGAAAGAAGTGTGTGTCTCTGGACTTAATTGTTACTACGGGTCAAAGTGTTTGGAGACTATCGATTAAGGAAGTATTTTCCTGGCTAATGAAAAATAACTCAGTAATGCTCATCTACCCCTTATAGAAGGTTATGCAGTGTATTGATGTAGTGCATAATAAAAACGAAAAAAAAGTTAAAAAAAAAAAAGCTAGAAACATCCCAAAGGTGTATCAACAGGTGAATGGATAAACAAAATGTTTCACAGCCATATAATGAAAGAATACTCAGTAATACAAAGAAATAAGTATTCATACACACAACATGAACAAATCTCAAGATTATGTGGAGTAAAAGGAGCTTGACAAAATTGAGAATATACCAGATTACATTTATTTAAAACTCAAAAAAAAGCAAACTAACCTACAATGATAAAAAGTAATCCGATGGTTACCACAAGGCAGAGGTAAAGGAAGAGATGAACTGCAAAGAGGCACAAGGAAATTCTGTGGGTTTATGGAAGCATTCAGTATCCAGATTTCATAGGTAAATGAGCAGGTCCAAATGCATCACACTGCAAAAGTTAAATATGTGTACTTCACTGTATGTATATTCTAGCTCAATAAATACTTTGTTGAGAAAGAGGCACATTATATTTGGGGGGAAATACCTACTGGATAACTTACTGTAAGAGAAATTTACTATTTACCAAATATATTTTTTAACATATGTTCACAGACTCCACCTCACAAAGCCGAAAAAGTGAATTGAGTAGGTTCTGCCCCACTTTTTTTAATATGAAAAAATTAATGCTTGGGGAACGAAGGTATCTTCCCACTATATATATAAACCAAGCGGCTGAGATGTGGTTTGAATTCGGTTCTTTCCACTTCACAATGCTCCCAAATGAAGTACGTCTTATTAAGCAATGGATGAAAAGAGTCTCCTTTCCATCATGATCCTAATTACTACCTATACAAATTCAACCCACATCACAAACTGGGAAAATCCTTATTAAGAATGCTGAGTACCCAGGACTGTCCACTTGGTTGAAACATGATCTTCTTCTTTTTTTTTTATTTTTATTTATTTATTTTAAGAGAGAGCAGGCGCACCCATGCATGAGCAGTGGAGGGGCAGAGAGAGAGGGAGAGAGAGAATTCTAAGCAGGCTTCATGCCCAGCACAGAGCCTGACATGGGGCTTGAACTCATGGCCCCAAGATCATGACCTGAGCTGAAATCAAGAGTAGGACAGTCAACCAACTAAGCCACACAGGCGTCCTGAACCAAGCTCTTCTTGATTGCCAGTGTCCTGAAATGTCCACATTGACAATGACACATATATATTTTGCAAATCTTTAATTATTGATAATATATACAGTCCTGATGAAGTAAATTTTTCTCCTACAGGGGCTCCTGGGTAGCTCAGTTAAGTGTCTGACTCTTGATACAGGCTCAGGTCATGATCTCATGGTTTCATGAGTTTGAGCCCCACATTGGGCTCCATGCTGACAGCATGGAGCCTGCCTGGGATTCTCTCTCTCCTGTCTTTCTTCCCCTCCCCCACTCATGCTCTGCCCCCCCAAATAAATAAACATTAAAAAAATTTTTAATAAAAATTAAAAAAAAATTTCCTTCTCCCTCTGCCTCTCCTGTGCTCGCACTCTCTAAAATAAAAATTTAAATTTAAAAAATTCTTCTACATATTTAATATCAAAAAGCAAAATGTAGAGCAGTACATATTATAAAATATTATTTTTGTAAATATTTCAAAAAATTTAAGAAACCACCCAAGCATCCATTGGTGAATAAACAGATAAATAAAATGTGGTATGTACTACAAACAATGGAATATAATTCAGCCTTAGAAAGGAAAGAAATCCTACCACATGATGCAACATGGATAAACCTGGAGAATATTATGCAAAGTGAAGCCCATCACCAAAAGACAAATAATGCATGATTCCACCTAAGTAAAGTATCTGAAGCAGTCAAATTCATAGCATCATAAAGTAAGATGGTGGATTATGAAGGCACGGGAGAGGTATAGAGAGGGGAGTTATTGTCTCAGGGTTTCAATTGTGAAAGTTTCACAATTGAGAGTTTCAATTGTGAAAGGTAAAAAAGTGCTGGCAAGTAGTTGCATACAATGTAAATGTACTTAACAGTACTAAACTATACCCTTGGAAATCGTTAAGATTGAAATTTTATATTATGTTTTTATGCACAATAAAAATAAATCAATATGAATTTAGTGTTTAAAAATTAATGTTTAAGATAAAAATAAAAAATTAGGACACATTCTATCTGTAAAGTTATACCCATGGGTACTATCTCTTTATCTCATCTATAAAGCTTTCTACTTCCTTTTTTTTTAAGAGTTTATTTCTTTTTTCTTTTAATGTTTATTTATTTTTGAGAGAGAGAACGTGAGCGTAAGCATAAGCATGAGCAGGGCTGAGCAGAGAGTGGGAGACAGAGGATCGGAAGCAGGCTCTGTGCTGTCAGCACAGAGCCCGATGGGGGCTCAAACCCACAAACTATGAGATCATGACCTGAGCCAAAGTTGGATGCTTAACCAACTGAACCACCCAGGCACCCCTAAAGCTTTCTACTTCTTGAACAATTTTAATAATTTATATTTTCAGAAAATTATTTATGTCAGTGAGATCTTCAAGTTAAAAGCATAGAGTTACACATGACTTCTGTATAACTCTGAAAATCTCCTTAATATTTATGGTTATAGTCCCTTTATCATTTTTGATTTTATGGATTTTCCTCCTTTCTTACTTTTATTAGGCTAGAATTTGGTCCCCTACACCAACTCCCCCCCCCTTTTTTTTAAGAAAAAGTATTTAGGGATTAGTTGAATTCACTGGTTTCCTGTTTCTAGTTCATTAATATCTGCTCCTAATCTTATTGTTTCCTCATGTTTTCCTTACATTTATGTTGTTGTAGCTTTGGAAGCTGAACATCTACTAAAAGAAACTTTGGGGGCGCCTGGGTGGCGCAGTCGGTTGGGCGTCCGACTTCAGCCAGGTCACGATCTCGCAGTCCGGGAGTTCGAGCCCCGTGTCGGGCTCTGGGCTGATGGCTCAGAGCCTGGAGCCTGTTTCCGATTCTGTGTCTCCCTCTCTCTCTGCCCCTCCCCCGTTCATGCTCTGTCTCTCTCTGTCCCAAAAATAAATAAACGTTGAAAAAAAAAAAAAATTAAAAAAAAAAAAAATAAAAAAAAAAAATAAAAGAAACTTTGTAAAGCTATGAATTTTCCTCTGACTAAAGCTCAGCTATAACTCTTAGATTAAGGCACAATATATTCTTGCGGTTATTTTTTCAAGTATTGTGAACTGTGGCTTTTGCTTTTCCTCCTCAACCCAAGGATTATTAAAGGAAGTTTTACATTTCCTAAGTATGTGGAAATAAGTAAGGCTTTCATTTGTATGTCTATTACTAATTGCAAATATTACTGAATGTGTGCTACGTATGCTTTTTAGAACTGGGCTTTACCAAGAAAAAAAAACCTGGGCTTTAGATCATGGCCAATATGATTACATTTCCTTAATGTTCCATGGGTACACAAAAGAAGATATAGTTATTTCAGATAAAGAATTTTATTTGAATTGATTACTTTAACTTTACTAATTGAAATAATCAGGTCTGCAGGGTGCCTGGGTGGCTCAGTCAGTTAAGTGTCTGACTTCAGTTCAGGTCATGATCAAACGGTTCATGGGTTTGTGCCCTGCGTCAGGCTCTGTGCTGACAGCTCAAAGACTGAGCCTGCTTTGGATTCTCTGTGTCCCTCTCTCTCTGCCCCTCCCCTGCTTATGCTCTGCCTCTGTCTCTCAAAAATAAATAAATGTTAAAAACATTTTTTTAAAATAGTCAGATCTTCTATAATGCTTCATACATTGTGTTTTTACATGTTAAATTCCTCTTTTCCCATTGGCATACTGTTAGTTTCTCCTTGTATCTGGCAGTATTCAATTATCATTTTTAAATGGATCTTATTTTGTGCATAAAGGTTTATAAATATTATACTTTTATTATGCTTCCTTTTTTTAATCCCTTATCAGTACTGTTTATTTAACAGAGATGATGGACATGTTCTAGATCAGTGATGTCCAATATGCTGGCTGTTGAACACTTGAGCAGATGTGGCTACTAAACACTTGAAATGTGGCTATTATTACTGAGGAAAAGAAGTTTTAAGTTCAATTTTATTTAAATTAGATTAAACTTAAATGCAGGGGTGCCTGGGTGGCTCCATTGGTTAAGCTTCTGATTCTTGATTTTGGCTCAGATCGTGGGATCGAGCCTCATGTCAGGCTCTGCACTGGCCGGTATAGAGCCTGCTTGGGATATTCTCTCTCTCTCTCTCTCTCTCTCTCTCTCTCTGTCTCTCTCTCTCTCTCTCCTTCTCCCTCTCCTTCTCCCTCTCTCCCTCTCTGCCCCTCCCCTGCTTGTGCACACACTCTCTCTCAAACATTAAAAATAAACAAATAAATAATGGAGATATATAGACAAATAAATAGATTTAAAATCAAACAGCCACCTGTAGCTAATGACTACACTATTAGAGCAAGGCTAAACTAATAATAAATAAACGGCCTTATCTTATGAATGAGTTTGCTTGAGATTCCACTTTGTCTATTAATATGCTTTCTTTGTGCTTGCATTTGCTGATATATGTCATCCTTTTACTTTTCACCTTTAAGAGTTACTTTTACACATGTCTTTTATAAGCCACAGGAAGTACAGGTGTATTTTGTTTCCTAGTTCAGTCTGTGAATGTCTGTTCTATAATAGAAATGTTTAACTCACACATTTATTGGCATTTCTTGGTCTTCTGTTGTTGTGTTTGAATTATTATTTGTTCCTACTTATTTTTTTTAATATGGATGATCTTTGACTTTTTTTTGCTTTAGTAATTTGGAAAGTATACTTTTCTGCTTTTAGTTCTGCATGTGGTTACCCTTAAATTTAAAATACATGAATCTATGGATATCCTTGAAACTTTCCTTCCCCATCCTGATCTCCCAGGTGATTTTGGCATTGTATATTTTAGACAAAACTCTGTATTTTCAATAT